GGGGGGGAAGGGGGTGAAAGGTGAGGGGTAAGGGTGGAAGGTGGAGTTGGGTGGGTAGGGGGGTAGGGTGAATGGATGTGTCTGGAGGTGGTATAGGAGAATTAAATGTTCTAATTATGAGTGTGATGTTAATAAATCACACAATAAGTCATAATAAAGTGTCTTCCTGAAAAATAGTGTTAAATGCATTTAGAGTGATTTAATCATTTAAAATTTCAATAATATCAAATCCCAAATCTGGAAAATTTAAATACATAAGAAGTTTAAAACTTAATATATAATATATGAAAGTTTAAAAAGTTTTTAAAACTTTAGAAAGTTTAATAAGTTTTTAAAAGTTTAACTTTTTTAACTTGAAAAGTTTAAAACTTCGAGAAGTTTTGAAAGTTCTGAAAGTTTTCAAAGTTCAAAACTTTAAAAAAGTTCAGTTTTTAAAAAAGTTTTAAACTTTTTAAAGTTTAAGAAAAGTTTTAAACAGTATAAAAGTTTTTTAAAAATATTTAAATTTAGTTTAAAATGTTTAAAACACTTTGTAGTTTAAAAGTTCAAAACTTTTAAGTAAACAAAACTTTTAAACCATAACTTGTTTCTCTCTGACCTATCAAAGCAAAATCGGTTCTTAAATAAATTACATAAAGTTAAAAAAATGTTAATTAAAGAAGTTAAGTGGAACATAACTAATATTTCAACCTCTAGGGTATAAGATAAAAGGGGATATGGTAATAAATCACTCATGAGCCCCCCCCCTTTCCTAACACCCCTCTTATCCACTATACCACCTCATTTTCCCCTACATTCTTTGCTGTTGATATGGTCTCTCCAAGGCGTGGCAATAGAGCAAGCAAGGTCCTTAAGGGACAAGGGTTAGTGTATAATTTTAATAATTTTAACTTAATTACTTTAGTAACTTATGCTGCAAACACAATGAATAATTGACATTCAAGATAATATATTATCAAGCTTACAAAAATTAGAAGTCACAACAAACACATCATAACCTGTAATGTTCAGTCTCATTTCCAGCTCTTTAAAAACAATAGGATAGTAACAATGGCAATGCAAAGCACAATATAATACAATATTTATTTATTAAATTAAGAATTTTAATGTCTCATTAAAAAGCAACTAATAGACAAAGGTCAGGTGACTAAGGTGTCACTTAGCTTGTGTGCACATTTTAATCAAAACAGACAAGGCTTCCTACAGGGCAGTCACAGCATGGCCTAGTGCAGCTTGACACAGGTCAGGAAGGTTAATCTCCATGTCAATAACAGATACTGGGGTAGGCTATATTTAAGCTGAAGTTTGATGATTTTACCATCTATTAAAAAAATGATGGGACAGAAATTACATTGGGAAATCATCAAATAATATATTGTTTAGGGAAACAAAATCAATAAGAATTAAAAATTCAAAAGCCTTCATTATACAGAAAGGTAATTTACAAGTGAGGAGACTGGCCTTAAGATCACAGGAAGGGGCTACAATTATGTATTTGGGGAATGCATGCCCCTTCCTCTGTCCCCCTCAAGACATTACATTTTGTTTGTTTGAATAGCACTAATATATATACATATAAAATTGAGGCCTTATTTGGCTTGCAAAGTTACCAGTTTAAGACCTCTGACCTTTACCAGTGTTAGGACTCAAGTCCCCAATGGGGTTTGCAATTTTGGGGTGGGACTCTTAAGACCAAAGCAAAGTAGTCAACCCATTAAAAGTTAACAGAATAGTGGGCAGGCAGGTTAATACTAAATTTAGGTAAATTACAAAAATGTTTAACAGCACCAGGTACAGTGCAATTTTACAGGATGTAAGGAGCATTTCAACTTGATTTGACTAATAAAACTCTGGCTCCTTAAAGTCCCTCTTATAGGAACTGGATTGGAGAGGTGGGGTCAAGAGGTCCCATTCTTGAAAACTGAGGTCACACTGCAAAAAGCCAAGCTGCCTGGGACAGAAGTCATAATAAATATTTCAGTTTTAGTCTACTTAGTAATTAAGTACATTTGATTAATTATCAACTTTTCACAATGACTTTTAGAAACTTATACCCCAAATCCACCAAAGAGCAAGAGTAGCCAAAAAAGAAAACCAACAAAAAACCATACATATACATCCCATTAGTAAATGAAACACCATTAATCAACTCTTAATTGTTTTAAATTTTCAAAATGTCCAATTTTTTGAAGTATTATGTGCATCACTTGTAAAATACAAGTTCTATTAATATGCACTTTTTTTAAACCAGTGTTTTGAACCTCTTTAATATGCAGACACAGAATTCCCAAAGCAGCAGCAGACTTAAAGCTGTAATTATATGCACATATTTTCCATAGATTGTATATTTTTAAGGGGCCAGGGAATTGGGGGGGGGTGATAGACTTTTGGAAGCCAAAAAACTTCCATTTCTCCCCTTAGAAAAACTCCTGGCTCATAGTTTGTAATATAGAGAGCCAGGTTTTTAATTTCTTCATTAATTAGAATATTTTTACATGGTACATTTGACTGGCAATAAGTAATACAGATGTTTAATTATGCCAGTTGAAACAGTTTATATTTTGTAACTATTTTATGTTTCATTACACAAATTTTAAATGTCAATGTATACCATTAATAACCTATTTGCCCAAAATTTAAATAATTAGTTTTTTATGAAAAAAACTAATTACTTAGGATAACAAATAATTGGCTTTTTATGAAAAAAGCCAATTACTTGGGATAACAAATAATTAGCTTTTTATGAAAAAAGCCAATTACTTGGGATAACAAATAATTAGCTTTTTATGAAAAAAGCCAATTACTTGGAATATTAAATAATTAGCTTTTTATGAAAAAAGCTAATTATTTGGAATAATTTAAATTAATTTAGTGTCTTTATAATTACAGCTTACATTATTAAAGTTCAAAAATGCATACTTTTTTTTTTTTAAAGAAACTCTTAGATATGTGAAGGTACAACCCAGGACAACAAAGCACCAAAGCAGAATAAGAAAACAGAAAAGACCTGCAACACTAAGCAAGAAGACAAATAAACCAATTTACTCTGGTCATTTAACACATGTTAATGAATGCCTACCATGTGCCAGGCACAATTTATTGTATGTAGGCAGGTTAGCCAGGGCTAATCCCTTAGTTTCCAATGGGGAAAATAAACCCCAGTTTCATAGACACACAAACACTTCATCCTTGCTCAAAGGCCAAACCAGCAGCACCAATGTGCCACTTAAAACGCCTATGAAACAAACACAGCCCAAATTGTTCCTTGCTTTGTATTCACCAAAGCATTCAATTCCAGTAGGTCCACTAGTGTCTTTTAAAAAAAAGGTAATGTGAAAATATTTTTAATTTTATTTTTTTAATTTATAATAAAAGCATTTGGCTAAATTGCCTTTAGAGGCACAGCCAAGTCAGCTTAGACATTCCCATCATAAACATCAGTTTAAATTGTAAGACTGTTATTTAATATATGCAAAACACTTATAAAAAAGTGTTTACAAATGCCAGGTATAATTGTTGTCAATTGTTCTTATTTATTATTCTTGTACTTATTAGATACTAGTGGACAAAAAGCAAAACCGCGCATCAGAGAAACCGCAGGGGGGCGGGTCTGTGCAGCCAGGCTCAGGCATTGAAGGCGCGCAGGCGCATAGGACAAGGCCTAATGGGAGGGGGGCTCACACTGCGCAAGTGCAGGAAGGCTCTGCTGAAGGAGGGGCTGTAGGCCTGCTCAGAGGAGGCAGGCTCAGGGTGGAGCCAAGCTTTGGAGAGGCGGGGTCTGGGCAGGCCACCTCAGAGGAGGGGCCTCAGGGAGAGGCGGGGTCTGGGAAGGCCACCTCAGAGGAGGGGCCTCAGAGAGAGGCGGGTCTGGGCAGAGGAGGCAGGCTCAGGGTGGAGCCAAGCTTTGGAGAGGCGGGGTCTGGGCAGGCCACCTCAGAGGAGGGGCCTCAGGGAGGGGAGGAGTCTGGGCAGGCCACCTCAGAGGAGGGGCCTCAGTGAGGGGAGGGATCTGGGCTGCCACCTCAGAGGAGGGGTTCGGGGAAGGGCGGGGTCTGGGCAGGCCACCTCAGAGGAGGGGGCTTAGGGAGGGGCGGGGTCTGGGTAGGCTGGCTCCAAGAGTCAGCGCTGGAGAGGCGGGGCCTGGGGAGGCGCGCTCTGGGGAGGCGCGCTGCAGGGGAGGCGCGCTCTGAGTAGGCGCTGGGAGGGAGGGAGGGAGGCGCTAAGCGCGTTCTGAGCAGATACTGCAGAGAAGGCGCGTTACGATGGGCGGGGCAGGCCAGAGACTGGCTGCTACGGGGCTGCAGAGTGTCTGCAAGCCACTCCCAAGATCCCGCCCCCCCAAACCCCTCCCACCAACCTCCAATAGCCAGATTCATTTCATGCAGCAAGAGCAATCACCGCAGATCCAGCCCCCTCCCCCAAACTCAGCAAACCGACAGTTTCCACAAACTGTTGCTGGACACCGATTCGCGCCACCGCGACAACTACACCGCCACTTCAATCAACATAACTAGGCAGCCTAATCTGCCATCCCCAAAAGTCAGAGCCCTTCCACTCCACTGCCATAGCAGGAATGGTGTGGGCAGAATGTTAAACACTAATTTTTTTGCCCAAGGCTCCATTTTGTCTAACAGAACCATCATGCACAGAGCCATCCTGCAAAGAAATACAGTGGGAGCCATTCGAAAAGGTGAAAGGGTGGGGTCCCCATCTAAGAAGCAGAGTAATTGTACTCTGCAGCCCTTTTCCCTCTATACCTGGTTTATCTGTAGCGCCAAACAGCCTGCAGCTCATGTACCTCTGCAGCAGTTTCCACTTTGCAAGCCTTTTAGGTGTAAATTGTTCCGCAGTTCATGTGCCTTATAGCGCATTGAAGCGCTATTGTATAGCTAATATCATTTTTGTAGCGCTTTTGAAAAGCTAGTCTTCAGCTCAGAATTTGAAGCGCATTTAAAGCGCAAGCTAATCTTCAGTCTGTGGCTCAGATATCGCTGCAGTTTTTACAGGTCTGTAGCGCATGTAAGCGCCAGCCCGTAGTGCGAGAAGCGCCCATCAGTTTCTAGCGCATGAAGCGCCAGTTCCTAGCGCATGAAGCGCCAGTCCTTAGCGCATGAAGCGCCCATCAGTTTCTAGCGCATGAAGCGCCAGTCCTTAGCGCATGAAGCGCCCATCAGTTTCTAGCGCATGAAGCGCCCATCAGTTTCTAGCGCGTGAAGCGCCCCTCAGTTTGTAGCGCATGAAGCACCACTTTATAGCGCACGAAGCGCCCATCAGTTTGTAGCGCATGAAGCGCAAGTTTGTAGCGCAACTGAAGCGCTTATCAATGTGTAGCGCATGGAAGCGCCAATTAGTTTTAGCACATAGCACTTTGTAGCGCATTTTTAGAGCTATCTGCAAATTAGTCTGTAGCTCATGTGCGTCTGCAGCTCATTCCTGTCTGCAGCTCATGTCTGTCTACAGACCGTATCCGGACTTGGGTCCTGGAAACCAGAGCCTTGAAGGCTTGGGTTTCCCCCAGTCAGTTTTGGGGTTCTGCCAGTGAAGGCGTGGCAAGGTTTGCGTGGAGACATTCTGGGGCGCTACTCCATCTCCCGCAGCAGCTCCCGATAAAAACGGGGAATGAATGTGATCTTAAAAATAAAAAACATCCTCACCGCATACTCACCACGCGAGGACTCCTCTGCGAAGACAGGAAGGAAGGGGTCCCACACCTGGCCAGGCGTGGGCTCCACTGGGTACTCCGCAGCCCGGAGTGGCTCCGGACGCGAGTCCGCTCAGCGGCCAGTGGACCCTCTCCGATGTTCTCCTCAGGTCGCAGTCAGGTTTCTTCGACACACACCAACCGAAGTTGAAGCGCGTGTACCCGGAGCCCAGACCGCCTGCCTTATATAGGCTGAACAGAGGAGGGGGGCGCCAAATCCCAGCGTGCTCTGCGGGCTGGGGGGCGGAGGGGGGTGCGGGGGCGGGAAGGATGGGGGAGGGGGGAGGGGGGGCGATGGCCACGCTTCAGCAGCCCGCCGCTAGAGGGAGTACGGGATTAGGGAGGGGGTGCAGGGTGCTGAGGCTGAACTGGCCAAGCTGGGAAGAAAGAAGAAAGGGAGGGGAGGGGAGAATCGAGGACGGCCGGCCTAGCCAGGCCAAGAATGCTATTGCCCTGGTGGTGGGAGCTGGGAGACCCCTGTGCTTGGACTGGACAGGGTCGGGGGACACGCAGGATGAGCCCCGCGACCACTGGCACATTCTTGCTGACAGGTTAGTGGCCTGCGCGCGATGTGGAGGTCCTGGGCCAAACAGGCCGCCGCCTCCCCCTCCCCCACTCGGGTTCGGGTACCCGGGCTCGCCCTTTGGGCTCCAGCCCCTCTTGATGCCCCATTGTATCCCTGTTTCAGAATGCCCTGTACCCTACTTTGGGGGACTGTGGGTCCCTCTCCAGGATAGACCCCTGGCCTTTTCTTTTTCTCTGCACCCCCACTGGCCCCTCCCTGACCAGCGGGCGCAGAAATTTCAGCTCCAGTTTCCATTCCCAGCACCCTCTGACCCCCCCACCCCAGCCCCCTAGTTGGACCTCTCTCGATCTTGTAGCAAAAATCTGGGGGTCGCTGCCCATTTTGGGGGGATGTTACCCCATTATTGGGGCGCCTTGGCCTAGATAGGAGCCGAAGCAAATAGGTGTCAAACCACGTCCCCCTCTTCAAATAACATCTTTTCTCTTTTTCTTGAATCTGATTGAGAGAGATCACTAAAACCCGACATTTAAAACACCCAATTCACCCTTCTTCCTAAACGCATTTCTCGGAGGTGGAAATCCCATTTTTCTTAGGTTTTTACCGAGCAGGGAAGCGAAATCATGCGATGCCGGGAGCCAAACAGGGCATTCAGGTCAGGGTTAACCCCGGTTTGGGGGCTAGAGATGCTGCAAACAGCACCGTTTGCCCCACCAAGTGCATTATTTTGAGAAAGCAAAAACAATTGAAAACAGCTGTGAATGCTTCCACTGTGCTTGGCGGGCTTTCGAGGCGCTCAGCTTCAGAGGTTTACAGAGAGACCTCGCTTTCTCTACAGACATTACATTTTCTTAAATCTTTTAGGGTGAATGAATGCGTTTGCTTATGGTAACCGCACGTCTAATCCTTTGAAGCCGGTTGCCGAGATTCGGCCCCAAATATTTGTGTGAGTGTATACCAATAAACATTTTTTTTAAGTGGGGGAAAATTACTGATGAGAAAGAATGCTAAATAAAATCCTTAGTGCAGATTCCCATCTAAACCGCCTCAAAGTGTTATGCGTTAGGAAAACTGACAATCTGTTGCTAATCTTAGTAAAAGAAGTTTAAGTGGGAAAATAAAATAGTTTACAACTGATATTTCTGAAACACAGATGAAACACATTAGTCTTTAGAGACTAAAATTGAACATACTTTAGTAACGATGCCACCTATTTTATTCTTAGAGGATAAATGAGAATTTTACCCTTTGTGCTTGACAAAGTGGTAGGGAGCCGGTTTAAAAAGCGAACCTTTCTAGGAATGAAGTAAACTTAGTCCATTTAGTGAGATTTTACATCTTATTAGAAATAAATGTTCACCATTAAGATTTGTGAACAATTGAATGAATGAAGCGCAGATTTCCAATAATGAAAGGCATTTTTCTAGAAGTTGGGAGAACACTTTTTAGAAGTGACTTTTAATTTAATCTAATCCTCTTCTGCAATACATAATAATTCTAGGATTTCTTAGAGCACTGTTCTGGTGACTGCCCGACTGTCAAATTCTTAGCAGTTTGTTTTTTAACCCAAGTTACTTCACCCAGTTGTTAACTGATAGACTTTGTTCTCCTAAAAAAATGAATTAAAAAGTAGTGTAGTTGAAAAATGGGGAAAATTCAACTTTAAAAAAACCCATCCGAGACTTTCAAAGTTTAAATCAGTTTGATGTTTTAATTTCAAAATGTTAGCCAGGATTTATTTTTGTAAAATTTAAAAAATCTTAATTAGTATTTTTATCATAATAAAATGATTTCTACTCATCGTCCAAAATTTAGGGGAAGAACCCCAGAAAAGTATAAAGAAGAAAGTCAAGATCACCTGTAACCTTTTCACCCTGCAATAATACCAGTAAATATTATAGAATCTGTTTTTTTATACTTTCTCTATTCTTATATAGGTATCTAAAGAATATATATTTTTCATGATTACATATATACTTTCTGAAAATTAAAAAATGGAATCAAGTTAATTTTCCTCAAGAGTTTTCCTTCCAAATAGCCTTTAAATATTAAATAAGATTAAATTTTCAGAGTTTTCTTTAAATGAAATAATATTAATTTCTAATTAAATATTTTATGAACAACCTTGGTATATAAATATTTAAAATCAGAAAACAGTAGAATTTCTTCTGTTTTCACTATTCTAACATATACATAATTGTCATTTTGTTGTATTTCCTGTTTTTTCCCCCCAAAATTGAAAAAAAAAAATCTTTTTCACTTTGCTTAGAAATATATTTTTCTAAAGGAAAAGGCAATATCAATAGATAATTAGTTTAGATAAAACTTTCCTGCTATCTAAAACAACACAATATTAAAAATAACAAACATCAGTAGATACTTTAGATATTTTTGTGTTATTAAAAACAAATTTAAAAACAAAAAACCAATAAATATTAGCAGATAAGGACTTTAAAGACTTTTGATACTTAATATCTAAATGACTTTTAGATTTTCTCAGATATTTATTCCCGATGTTGATGATTTCCTACCCATTTTTACAAGGTCAAATGTAAAGTGAACAAGGTGTTAGTTCTCATTATTTACTTTACCAAATAATAACTGAACTTTGTATAAAGGCATTTTATCCATTTTTACAAGAATTTGCCCTGGATGTATCAAACTGTTGATTAACCATCTATATTTAACTTCTAGTATGGTCGGAAAATTGCATTTGAAAACCTAGAGGGATTTTTCACTTGTCAAATAATAATCAGACTTTCTTTTTGGATATTTTACCTCTCTTATAACAATTTGCCATTTATCATGAAGCTGTTGATTTACCTCATGTATTTTAGTTCTAGTGGAGTGGGAAATTGCATTTCAAAAGAAACTAAAATTTTCCCATGTCAAATAATTACTGGACTTTCTATTTGGACATTTTATCCATTTTTAAAAGGGCAATTTGTATGGATCTATGAGCCTTGTGATTTGCCACCTGTATTTGTCTTAATTTCTAAGAAGGTTAGGGAAAACTTATTTCTAAGCAAAGTAGAATTTTCATTTGTCAAATAGTAACTGGACTTTGTAATACTCATTTTATCAATTTTTATAACAGTTTGCCATAAATCTAACAGCTGTTGATTTATCTCATATTTAGCATAACTTCTAGTATGGTAGTCAAATTGTATTTTTAAGCAGAGTAGAATTTTCACTTGTCTCACAGACATTGAAAATAGCAAGGAATAGTTCCAGAAAAAACTGATTAGAGACAACCCCAAAGAGATAAAGATAACATGTTTCCAGTTTCTAACACTCGGGTTTTCCATTGATGAAAATCATCCTCTAAACAAAATACTGAAGCAATGAAGAAATCCTGTCTTGTTAAAAATTCTCAAGTCAAATATCCAGATTGTTTGTGTTTCTGATAAGACCAGTGTTTACAGATCACATTTTCTCCAAAATAATCAGCCTGCCTCTTTCTCTGTGTTGTGTTTCTTCCTTCCTTCTTCTTACTAATTGTCCACACATACTTACAATCAATTTCCTTTCTTAAAATTTACTCTTCTAAACTCTATAAACACCTAAATGAATATTCTATTATTTATTTTATTTCCTACTCTTAGTGTAAAAATAACTCTAGATGAATAGATGACATGGGTTTATGTATCTGTTAGAGAGTCTTGGGCTGGAAAAGGAAATTTTTTTACTTTGCTGCATTTTAGTTCAGAGCTTCACAGAAATATAAATGTGATGACTCTTTTCTTTCCATACTTTCCTAACCTTTCCAAGAGACAGATAGACAAATGGACACACACGTGTAACATCCGAGTTTTCTAAATTTAGGATTCAGTTCTTCAGTCTGTCTCCCCAGAAACATTAAGTACTATATTTTTTTAAAATTAAAAAAAAAATCTTTTTAAAGCCAGTGTTTCTAAGGATCAACAAGTCATTTCAAACGACTGTTTTCCTGCTCGGAGTTTTCAGGTTGATAGGAACAGATAGAGTCTCAATGCTCTCAAAACTATTTCACATAGATTGCTCCTAAGCTAAATTATCTCTACATAATTACCACATTTTGATTTTTCAAATAATGTAAAGTATTGAAGACAATATTGAATTTTAAAACAACATATAACACTCCCCCCACCCAACACACAATCTCCACACCCTGACACTAGAATAAACATTTCCACTTATGTTCCTTTTCTTCTGGTCTTTGGTTTGTGTGCATGCATATTTTGATACAACTATAATTTTAATATGTATAGATCTTTTACACTTGGTTTTTAAAGATAAGCAATTCTTGCTTTCAGCAAAGTAATTGTCAAGGCTTCTGGCTGCTCTTGTGTGAGGACTAATTAGCAGAATTGCTGGGTGAATGGGAGGCAGGCTGAAAACAGTACTAGCTAGGTGTGTGGGTTATTGGGTTTTGGTAAGGGAGAAACCCTAGTAGGGTCACAAACCTTTGCCCTGGGTCTTAGTCTTCTTCTTCTTCTTTTTTTTTCTTTTCTTTTTTTTTTTTTTTTAGCATTTGCTTGAATAATTTTGACAAAGATCTAGGAGGCTTGCTTTAAAATTCATGGATGACTGGAGAAGGGATAGCTGTTACAAACAGATAACAGAATTTAGAGTTAAACATCATTCAAATATGGTGCAATGCTATGCTGAAAGCAAAAAGATATTTTATAGCAGCAAATGCATCGTAATTCATTGGTGTGGAAGAAAGGAGATGACTTAGTATGGTGGCAGTTCTTTAGGGGAAAAAAGGCTAATATGAACCAGTGTCATGATATAGTTAAAAAAATACACACACACACACACACACACATATATATGCATATATATGTATATATATATATGTCAGAGTTAGGCTATGTTAATAGTATAGTGTCCATATGTCACAAAAATTAATAGTAAACCTTGCTCTAATCAACCACATCTGTAGTATTGTGTTCATTTTGGCTGTCACATTTAAAGAGAGACGTTGACAAATTAGACAACTTCCAGAGCAGTCTGTGGGGATGGTGAGGGGTCTGGCAATTCTGT